TACATGTGTGCATGTATATGAAAAGAGAGAGAATAAGACAGAGAGAAAGAGGCAGAATGAGAGGCAGAGACAGAGAGAGGAGAGAGACTCCAACAGCAAGAATGTGTATAAATTATTTTCAGACCTTCAGTTTACCTTTTGACCAATCACCCTCTCTTATATCTTTTTATTTATTGACCTAAATAGACTATAAATATATTGTATCTGGTTCTGGGCAGTACCTGGAGTATCACTAGTACTTGGAAATAATATATTTTTAAAAATTAGTTTCTAAGAACTTATATATCATATCGACTAGATTTTTGGGTCATATTTTCCATATTTACTTAGAAAGGCATTCTGTTGCCCAGTGACAAAGCTTTAGGCTTCCCTTGAGTGCTCTACAGGGAAAAATGAATTTTCTGTTGCCTCTCCACCAAATCAGCCCTCCTTTTTAAGACCCAGCGTTAACCCACTCAAAGCTTCTTATTTCGATTGGGACATTGAGCCTGAAATCCCACTTCAGGTGGGAAAAAGAAAAAAGCCAAATGATCAAACATGAAATCAAAAAACCTCTGCCTTTTATCTACACAGAAACCCACAGGACACATTCAGAATAAGCCAAAAGGTGAGTGGAGTTTGGCTCACAGGCCTCTGAGATCTGCTTCTGGGAAGAAAGAGAAGTGAAACAATAGAAGCGATCTCTAATAACGTGCAGCCTGACTTGGTGATTTTTTTTAAATGGCCCTCTTTATAATTTTACTGAGAAAGTTCAACTTGGAGTGTATGGTATCATATCATAAGTTTGTAGGGAAAACCATGCCAAAAATAAAATTAACCTTTGATTCATTTTTGTTGTAAAAAAAAAAAAAAGTACATACAATTTTAATGTATAGGTGTTAACTACACACAAAAATAAATCTATTTTCTATGAGGTTGATATTAACAAAAACAACAGTGACTGAATTCATACATTGCTTTGGAGTTTTTAAAGAACAATATCAATTAGAAGGTTTTAAAAACATGTTTTCTAACCTACACTGGAAAGGGAAGAGCCAATTTACTCATTATGATCATCAATTCTAGCTTTTCATAGTCAGAAAATTAGTGCACTGGAGTTTTTCTAGAGAGTCCAGGGGCAGGTTCAGATTTTTCTCATAAGGAAATGCAATGCTAACCAAACCCGGTTCTCTGGGCCCAGACACTGAACTGTGTTCTCACTGGTATTACCCAAAGCCTCGGAGAAAACACAGCTAAGAAGAAAACCCATCTAAGTACACGAAAGAGGCATAGTCATTTAATGAGTTCCAGAATTCACTCTGTCCCACTTTGACACAGTTTCCTACACCTAATCAAGTAATAATGATGGTCTCATTTGGAGTCATTGATACTTACTTGGATATTTTTTTGCACCACCTCAAGACTCTTTGGCCTAATCCCATGTGCTAGGTACTATTTTCCCCATTTCACAGATGAGGAGACTAAGGTTACTACAGGGGGATGACTTGCCCAAGGTCACACAATGAGTGGCAGATCAGAGATTCACACCCAACTCTATCTGACTCCAGTCCCACGCTATGAATTCTGAATCTCTATATTTTATTGCCTCTCTATTTCTAGTAGGTGGCTTCCTTTAAAATAAAAAAAAAATAAAAATAAATGTCTCTCTGCCAAACTGCAAAGTTTTCTGAGGATAAGAATCCAATCCTACCCGATGGCTCATCTCAATGACAATTAACGTGCAAATGCAGGTGCTAAGCTCCTCTAAAGAATACTGTAAAGAGATACCTGCCTTGCTTGTCTAAAGAGTCCCACTTCTAACCCAGAATTCAGGCAGTTTCACAATAGGGAACTTCAGGCCCAGTTCCCTGCCACCAAGGGCATTCTTAAACTACCTCACAGATAAAGGTTTTGTAAGAAATAGAATAGAAACAAAAAGGGAGAAATTATGTGGCTGTCAACTTGGAGTTCTGTCCTCTGGCAGTAGTGCAGAAGTAAGAAAATTTATTCTTAAGCTCCTCTGAGCACATATAAATCCGTAACTTCCCATGGTTTACAGACTTTCCATCCTTCCTCTCCCAACCCCTACCAGCATCCCCAGTTTCCAGGACGGCACCGTGGAGCAAGGAGGCAGCTCTCAGTGGTTTCCTGGACTTAGGATCATCCTACACACCTCCTAACCAAGAGCGGCAGAGACTATATCCTCTCTCTGCTTCTACTTCTGAAATGGAAGCACCCCCTAAATAGTGGTTACCTGAAATAAACACATTTGCCACATGCTCCCTTGCAGCTAGATGTGGGGATGTGATTAAGTCCTAGCTAACAGGATACAGGCAGAAGTATCTTGAGCAACTTCCGTGAGTGACACTGAGGACACTGCATTTTTTTTTTTTTTTACCCCTTTCCTCCTTCCTGCTGGCTAAAAGAAGAATGTGATGACTGGAGAGTCTAACCTCCTTCTCGGACAAAAAGATAACTGTCACTCTCTAGAAACGGTAGAGCAGAAAGCTGAAAGGAACCTAAGGCGCCAGGCTCTGGGATGCCTACTTAGGGAAGAGAACAAAATCTTATGTATTAATATTGTGTATAAACTGTGAATTCTATTTTAAGCAGATTCACTTTCAGAGGAAATATCTGGTACCAAAAATACTCAGATAATAAGGAACTCCTTTATGGTTTCAGAATGAGTCCCAGGCAATGCTGAGTACAAGGGATAAACTTCCTCCTTCCTGGATGTCCCCATTCTAAGCATCTCAATTTCAAGGACTGCCAATCTGCCCCACGCCCTCTCTCGCTCCTCCCCACTCCTCCCCAGATGGAATCTACTGTTGAAGAAGGCAGTGACACAGGGTGACTAGATGTTCACAGCTGGATTTGGACTCTTACCTGGCAGCCAGTTCCATACCAAAGCAACCCTGCAGAGCAAGCTGCCCCACCATCAGGAAAGTTTGAGGACAATTATAAGAGCTGATATTTTCAGAGTGCTAACTCTATGCCAAGCTGTGGTCCAAGCATCTTGGATAATGCCATGACTTGAGCTGCTCAGCAACTCCAAGGTAGGTACTGGGACTGGCCCTGTTTATGCCTAGGAAGTCTCACTCCAGGATTCAAACTCACGAGGACTTGCCTTGTAGCCTGTGTGCATGCCCATTAGTCTACACTGCCTCTGGGGAGACGGGGAAGAGAAAAAGAAAGGTGATTAAAAACTAATAGACACTCCTATCTCCAAAGTGGCCACATTTCCTTAGAAACTTGAATTCTGCCTTTTTCTCACGACACTGAAAAATTCCTACCATTGTCCAGGCTCTGAATTAAAGAATCTCCTGCTTCAGATGTGTCATGCCCCGCACATTCCGAAGTGACCTTCCCAGCCATTAGCCACAGCAGAGCAGGTGGCTAGGAGACCTGGGGTAAAAATGTTTAAAAATCACCCCTGACCTCAGCAAGAAATAAAGACGGAAACCAATTCATGGAAGTGAAAGGCAACCTCAAAGAAGAAATTACACGTTCTGCCACCAAGACACCAGCAGTGTTTTGTTTGAGGGTCAAAGTTCTAGAACACAATCCAAACTGTTTGCACTGAGGTCTAAGTTCTTGCTACTTAAAGAGATTTGGGGAGCTCTCTGCAGAGGTTCCAAATCTTGGTAAGAGAGGGTGGGGCAGGTCTGCAAGGCTCCCTGGCTGACCCCACCCTGGCTCAGACCCCAGGGAGGAGCATGTGTGTTGGAGAGGAGTGTGGTCCCATGCTGTGAGCAAGCAGGCATGCTGCACACCGGCAACGCCACCCACACCCACCGGGGATCGCTCTACTCTTCCCTGGAGGGTGGAGGTGCAGCAACAAAACCAGCAGTCAATGCTAAATCACCTCTCAGACTCTTCTACACTCAAACGCTTTCTTCTGATTTAAACCCAGCTCACCGGAGTGGTCAACGTGCCCCTAAGACACAACACCCCAAACGTGGGCCATTTCCCACCAAACTCAACTTTGCCAGGCCTAAAAGGAAAAAGGAAAAAAAAAAAAAAACAACTTTCCAGATCAGAATTGGCAAATTCAAATGCCTATAAAGGCCAGAAATAAGTGAAGCAGATCTGGTTGGGATCAACTGAGACAAATGGTGAACACCTGCCCTGGCTATGAAAACAGCTGCTCTCAGCTCCAAATGATTGCTCCAACGTGAGAGCAAGATCATTTCTCCGCGAACTTGGAGTTGGACATCCACAAGTGTATGTGAAATCGCCCAGTTCTAAAATGTTGACGTCCAATTCACAAAACGTTTAAGACATCCTAAGGGCTAAACAAGTCTACACGTAATGGGGTCCCAGAGAGCCAATTTTCAATACGTCTTTTAGACATCAGCCCCAAAGACGGCTGAGGCCACCTAATACATGATCAAAAGTTACTACTCGCAGGTTTGGCAACCCTGGTTAGAGTCAAGGCTTGCAAACCAGGTGCAACGACTCAGGTAACCAGTCACTTGGAGTCCTTCCTGTATCTACCCAGAAGATAGAAAAAGCCATTTAAGCCAGGATCTGAGAGGCACCTCATCTGGAGCCTCTTCTTCCAGAGAGGGAGGCAGCCCAGGGGACAACCACAGTGGCCTTCCCAGGGGACGCACCATCTGCAGAGGAGGCAGCCACCTGCAGAGACCTCTGCCAGGCAGGGGAAAAGGCAGAACCTCACTCTGTGAACCCAGGAAAAACAACGAGCAGGGGACAGGACAGGGATTAGGGAGGAGGAGTCCCCCCAGAAACTGCCCCTGGAGACACTTCCACTTAAGCAGGAAGGAGGGAGAAGGGGTGGATGCACTTCGCAGCTCCATGGGCCTTTCCTGGATGGAGCGTCACCGCCCTTTACACACAGGCACCTTGAAAGGACCCTTTTGTGGTGAGGAATTCCGAGCCTGGGAGGTCACTCTGACAGATGTGATTCCTTCACTCTCTGCCTAACTCGGTCACTTCTATAAAGTCTTTTCCCCCCTCTGTTCCCACAAACGCATCCCTGAAGCCCCAAAGCCTCCTACCTTGACACTGGAATCCCTGCTTCCCGAAGCCCCTGCAAAAGCAGAAGGAGGCATGTCAGGCGGCCTGAGCGGCCCTGCCACCAGCTCGTCCCCCCACAGACTCGCCCCTTCCCCCAGCCCTCCACCCAGGTGCAACCTCCCAGCCACAGGCGGGTGCCCAAGAGTCTTCCGCCTTCGGGGGCGTTCGTGGGAGCTCGGCGGTAAGCCCCATCTCCCCTCACCCCAACAGAAGGAAGGAGGCTGCGACCACCAGATGGCGGGATGGGGGCAGCGTTTCCGTCGGGGTGGGGGTGGAAGGCAGGCGGGAGATCTGCCCAGAGAGATGCCCCGAGTACGCTGGGGAAAGAGAAGCGATAGAGACGCATCCACGAGGAGGCGGTGGTGTCCCCTGGGGGATAGGAAGGGAGAAAGGACGCCCCCCTCCTGGAGGGACAAGGGGCAGAAAGGGGCCCGCAGCAATGTGATGGGGGGGACCGGTGAGTGGAAAGGGGGACCCAGGCCCTCAGGGAGGCACAGTAAGAGATAACACAGGGCGCTGCCCAGGAGACACAGAGGGGGAAAGGATGTCCCATGCCCGCAGGGAGATAGAGAGAGGACACCCGGGCGATGCCCCCCGAAAAGGAGGGGTGGGATGGAAGGGCCCCGCGCACCGGGAGGGAGGCGGAGGGGTAGGGAAGCCCTGGCGAGGGGGCACCCGAGGCGCTGCCTTCCCGGGGAGGGACAGACACGGCACTCCGAGCCAGGTCTGGGCGCTCTGTAGGCGACTGGGAGTAGGAGAGGGCAGGAGGCGCCTCGCGGCCGGCCGTCTGGGACCGGGCACAGGGGACCCGCAGGACTGTCCATTAGGGAGTCTGGGGCGGGAGAGTCCGGATCGAGGAGCCCAGGGACGCGCGGGGTCCCCGCAGGGCTTCTTCCCCCCGGGGGCGCGGAGGGCGCGGAGAGGGGGTCCCACGCGCGGCGGTGCCCTCGGGGGCCCGGGCAGGTGCCGTGCGCCGGCGCGCGCTCACCAGATGAAGTCGGTGCAGTGGCTGCAGAAGGTGGGCTGCTTGAAGAAGCGGGCGGTGAATTTGTGGTTCTTCACCTCGTGCACGTTCTTCTGCCGGAGGGCGCCTTTGCGGGCGAAGCGCACGGTGCTCTCCTCGCCCTCGCTCGGCGGCGGCCCCGCAGCCGGGTCAGCCATCTTGCGCGCGGGGAGCCGGAGCCGAGAGGTGCCGGCCCCGGGGCGCGGGATCGCCGGCTGCAGGCCCGGCAGGCGCGGAGGAGGCGGCCGCTGCTGCCGCCCGGGGCCGCGGGCGCTTCCCCTGCGCCGGCTCTGGCGGCCGCGGCGCGCGGAGCCGGGGCTGTCACTCGCCCAGCTGCGGCCGCTCGTCCAGCTGCGCTTGGCACCGCTGGCCCCAGCTGCGGGGGAGGGAGGCGGAGCCGCGGGCAGACACCGCCCTCCTCATTTGCATCGCGCCCAGGCCCCGCCCAGCGCCGCCAGCTGCTTTACATACTGGCACCCCAGCGGCTGCCAGCCTGCCCGAGAAGTGCTCCCAGCCGCAGCGCTGCGGCGCGGGGACCGCAGCCTGCGTTCGTCAGACCTGAGCCTCGCCCCCCACCCCGTTCTCGGCCCCGGGTTGCCTTGAGGAGATGAGCACCTTGGGTGCCCCTCGGAAGTGCCGAGAGTGGAAGGACCCGCGGAGGTGGTCGGGGGTAGAGGTGGAAGGGGTGGGCGCCGCGGGTTCCACCCTGGCCCCTGCAGAGGGACCGGTACCCATCCGCCCCCATCCGCCCCATTGGTCATTCTGCACGCGTCTGCCGGAGGGATGGGCTCCCGCTGTCGCTCATTCGGAATGGCTTGTGGCTCCGCACACTTACACACACATACACACACACGTTCTGCAGAGGTAGGGGAGGAGCGATCTTTATTTTATATATGTCTAACTCCACACAAAGAAGATTCTTGGCTTTGCTTGCCTGTCTGTACCTTTAGAAGAAAACTCCTTACCATCTGTCCATGCTCTCCGCAAAGAGACTCAGTTTCCCCAACTGCAAAATGGAAGTAATTAAGAGGAGAAGGGGAGAAGAAATTGAAATAGATCAATATTTCTTCAAATTTCATTCCTTCTCACTCATCTTCACAAATTCTGATCATATTTGTGCACCATCTGAAAAAACAGTCTATCTGGTTTGATCTACTGAGTTTGAATAGCAAGAGATATTTATATTATTAAAATCTCTCCAGGTGCTGTCATCTGCCCAAAGCATCTGTGACTGAGGCCTTCTTTTATTTGTTAAGAGAGGAAATTAACAATGTTAGAGAAATGTTAAAGACACATTAATATCCAACTGGGACTCTCTCCTTGATGGAATCTGAAGGTAACTAACAGGGTAATAATTGTCTAGATGCGTAATTCAGTGGTTTGTAGTGTCCTGTCCATGCACTGCGCCTAAACACTCCCAGCCCCACCATGTCCCCGAATCTGAGAACCCAGAGCTGCGTTAGACTGTGAGCTCAGTAGCTGGATCTAGGCTCTGTGAGAGCAGGGGCTGCTCACCATAGTGTCACCCTGCACCAGGCTCAGGACCTGGCACCTCCTAAGAGCCCAATAAATCCTGGTTGAATGAGTGAGTGAGTAAGTGGAAGAATAAGTGGGTGAAGAAGGCTTAAAGGACAGCACAACTTACCCCCAACCATGCCCAGTAGGTGTTCAATAATAAACATCATTGCTTGGTGGGTATCAGGTATTTGCATTGTCTTATTTAGCAGCCCTTCCCCCCAACAACCCTCTGTAGATCGGGTAACTTTCTTTATGGATAGACTGTAAGGCTCAGAGTGATTAAGATATACACCCACAGCCATGCCGTTGCTGGGTGGTGGTTGGGCTGCCCTAACTACAAAGCATGCTGGTGACAAAGGGATCAACCTGAGTAGTGGGGGGCGAAGGAGTGCAGGATGGAGTTGAATGAGCTCAAGTCCCACTATGACAATTTTGCCTGGAAGCTGCTGTGTGGTAAGTCATTATTAGGTAGCATGTAGAGAGCGAGGGCTGCAATAAGCGAAGGTCCCTCTCCTACATAGTAATTCAAAGGTAATAAGGAAAAAATAGCATTCGCTTCTAAGGTTGGCATGTTTGGGAAACTGGATGTGCCTATCTATTATTAGTCCTTTAAGAGGCCCCACCACCTCCCAGGGAGGCTTGGGGAACATCCCTGGAGACATTGCTGCTGAAGTAGGTTTCCTTTGAACTGATGAGCTGGAAGCTCACAGCCCACATCCTGCCTTTTGAATGAAGTGCCCTGAATGACTTTGGTCTGGAACAACAAACAGTACTTGATGGCGCCTGGGCCTGGAGATGCGAGGGCCAGTGGATCAAGAAGAGACGCTGGGTTCCTGAGGAGGCCACACCAACCGAGGATGGGAAATGCGGTTCCCTCTGGGCCCAGATCCCTCTAGGTCAGGGGTCTCAAACTGGTGACCTTGGGATACTCTTTGTTAGCCAACCCAGTGAATTTTTTTTTTTTTTAGTTCACATATCATAGAATTTTACCTAAATATCCAGATTCTGACTTCTCTAGGAGAAAAAATGTGGCTAAATGGAGCCTGCTTTCTGTATTCATTCATTCATTTGTTTATTCAATCAGCAAGTGCTTATTGAGCACCTACTATGACTGCTGTTCCAGACACTGTTATAGAAACCAGACAAAAGTCCCTGCCCTCATGGGGTTTATAGTCTAATGGGAGGCAGGGAGGGATGGACAAAAAACCTAATCAACTTGCAAATATCTATTGGGTGGTGTAGAGATTCATGGTGTAAAATAAAGCATCATAAAGACCGCAGAGTGACAGTAGCCAGGGAAAAGTTTTGTGATGGAGGACATCTGAGCAAATGCCTGAATAAAGCAAGGGGGTGAAACACAGGACTGCCCGGGGTAGAAAGTTCCAGACAGAGAAAACAATAAATACAAAGAGCCTAGGGAAGGATCATGCTTGGCATGTTGTAGAAATAGCGAGAAGGCCTCTGGGGCTGGAGTAGACAGAGAGAAGACAGTGCTTATGAGGTTGGGAAGGTGGCAGGGCCCTGCAGGGCCTTGTAAATGTGGTAAGGAGCTTGGATTTCACTCCAGTGCACGGAAGCCACTGGGAATGGGAAGCAGAGGAGTGGCCTAATATAACTTCTGTTATTTTTAAAGATTACCCTAGGTATTATCCAGAAAATAAATGGTAGAGGAGAAAGAGTGGAAGAAGGAAGAGCAGTGAAGAGGTCAACTAAATAGATGAAGCAAGAGATGAGGCCACCATGGCATGGTGCCTTGTGGAGCTATGGGCAGCAGCTCCCAGTAGACTGGGCATGACCCCTCCAGGTCACCAGAGCCCCAGCCTGGGCCACTCTGCCCATAAAGGAATGAATGCTGGCCACTTGAAAGACTTCAGAGGCAAGATGAGGCAGGTTGCTCTGGTCAGGAATGGAGTCCAAGTTCTCTTCAGTCCAGACCAACGGCTGCCATAAGAAATTATCACAGAACTGGGTGGCCAAATATAACAGAAATGTATTCTCTCATAGTTCATCAAGGTATCAGGAGGGCCACACTCCCTCCTGAGGCTTTAGAGGAGAATCTTCCTTCCTCTTCCAGCTGCTGGTGGCCATCAGCATTCCTTGGCTTCCTTGACTCGTGGCAGCTTCACTCCCATCTTTCTCTGTCTTCACATTTCCTTCTCCTCTGTGTGTCTCTCTTCTCCTCTTCTGTCTGTCTAACATCACCTGTATATCTCTTATAAGGACTGGCCACTAGATTTAGGGTTCACTCAGATAATCTAGGATGATCTCTTCATCTCAAAATCCTTAACTCCGTTACATCTGCAAAGAGCCTTTTTACAAATAAGGTAACATTCACAAGTTCCAGGAATTACAACATGACTATATCTTTTAGGAGGGCCACCATTCAGACCACTACACAACCCCTGCACAAGTCACTGCCTTCCTCTGTGTCTCCTTTTCCTCCTACATAAAAAAGAAGAGGGATGGAGTAGTTTGCCTTCCAATACTCTCATTCTAAGGCTGTACTCTTCCATACAGTAGTCACTAGCCATCAGTGGCCACTGAGTGCTTGAAATGTGGCTAGTCTGAACTGAGATATGATTGCAAGTGTAAAATGTACCGTAAATTGCAAGCATGTAGTATGAAAAATAACATAAAACACCTCATAAATAATTTTTATGTTCATTGCATATTGAAATTATAATAGCTTTGATATATTGGGACAAATCAAATTTCTCTCTAAAATTCATTTCACCTGTTTGTTTTTACTTTTTGTAATGTGGCTACTACAAAATGTAAGATTATACATTATATTTCTTTGGGTTCTAAAGAATACATGTTAAAAATATTAAATTAATTTTAAAACTGGATAATATAAATAAAAGCTCATCTCTATTCCATGTGGTGACAGCAGTGGTTGCTTGCCTGGAGGCTGGAGTATCCACTTGCAAGATTCTCATTCACATAGCTAATAAGTTGGGGCTGACTGTCAATTGAGGGTTCACCCAGGGCTTTGGTGACAGGTGTTAGTTCCTCTTCATATGGGCATCAACACTGGCTACCTGAGCTTCCACCACTGCATGGTGACTGAATTTCAAGAGTGAATGTCCTAAAAGATAGGAAGTAGAGGATGACAGTTTCTTAAAATCTGACCTAGAACTGGCACAGTGTCATTTCTGATATATGGTATTGATCAAGAAGTCACAGAGCCCATCTTCAAGGGGACCCTATTTCTCAATGAAAAGAATGTAAAAGAATTTGGGGGCCACAGAGGAGGAGCTCAATAAACATTTGTTGAATTAATAAAATGCCACAATTTGTATCCAACATAAGAGGAAACAGAAGCTTGGAAAAGTTAGGCAATTATTAAGGTTACTCTCGAACTACAACTAATTATAATTAAAAGCTAATATTAAGAAACAGGAAAATATGGCCTATTCAAAGGAAAAAACAATAAACCAAGAGGAACTGTCTCAGAGAATTACCAGATAGTGAGCCTACTAGGCAATGACTTTAAAACATCTGTCTTAAAGATGCTCAAAGAACTAAAGGAAGATGTAGAGACATCAAGAATACAGTTCATGAACAAAATGGAAATATCAATAAAGAGAGAAAACCTAAAAGGAAACCAGAAAGAAACTGTAGAGCTGAAAAGTACAATAACTGAAATGAAAAAAAATTTTTTTTTATATTTTAGAGAAAGGGTCTTACTATGTTACCCAGGCCGGACTCGCGCTATGGCTATGTTTCCTGGACTCAAGTGATCTCCCTGCCTCAGCCTCCCAAATATGATTCACTAATGAAATTCAAAGTCATATTTCAGTACGCAGGAAGAAATCTGCAAATTTGAGTATAGGACAACTGAAATCATTGAGTCAGAGGTA